TGGGCGGCGTGCGAGTGATGAAAGGGGGGGGGGGGTGGCCAGGGAGCAGCGATCGCTGCTCGGGAACTGTCTGGGTATCGGTCGGCGGGTGGTGAGCAATTGCATTGTGCATCACTTGCTTTGTATATCATTATTATTATTATCATTATTATACTGTTACTATTAGCATTACTATTTTACTTTATTTTGTTGTCGTGTCACTCCCTCTACCCCGATGGTAAAATAGTGCTTCTTCTCCTGCTAGGAAGAAAATTAACTCTATCCCAGACGAAACCAGGACTTTATTCCAATTATTAAACTGTTCTTATCTCAGCCCAGGAGTGTTTCTCACTCTTGCTCCTCCAATTCTCTCCCCCATCCCATCGGGGTAGGGGGAGTGAGCGAGCGTTCTTAGTTGCTGGCTGGGGCTAAACCACGACAGTCCCCAACCCCAGCAAGCCCTGGGGCTCCACCGGCTGACCAGGGAGTATTTCGGTCCTGCTGCAAAGTTCAGCACCAGTCCCCGGGGGCGGGAGGCAGCGAACAGCAATTCTGAACAGATTGGCTGCACGGGGGTGTGAAGGGGGCATCAGTGTAAGCCGATATTAAACATGTTTTTACGTGCTAATGTGTTGTCTGTTGACCATGTTAAATATGTCTAAGTTAATGAAGCCAAGAGAGAGGTATTTCTAAACATATCATGAAGAGTTACGCTTGTATCTGAAGGCTAATTATCTGTCAGATTGCATGTTGGGGACCAAAATGAAACAGTCTGAATCAGAAATAAAATCCATTTATAACTATAATTAATCACTTAAAATTAGCAAACAGGGTAAGCTTCCCTGATGACTCTAAATCTAGGACAGGTTTTAAAAAGGTGTTTTTGTTGAATCAGAAGTCATCAAAGCAGATACTGCAATCATGGGGTAAAATACTAAGACTGATACTGATGAAGGAATTCAGAGCAGACAACACCGTGATGACTGATCCCTTCAGGCCTTCGCAATGCTTCGATGGGATGCTAACCCTATGCTAGGTTAGGGCAAAACCGAGTTTGTCTTTATGGGCGTAATACATATTAAAAGCCACAAAGCACTGAAATAACTATGAGAGCCCATACTTGTGTACAAACATGGATTCATCTAGCCTAATTTGTTAAACTATTCTGTTTCTGCTCTGGATCACCAATTGCCCAAGCAGCCACAGGAATCTAATTCTTTCCAGGTGGTTGAAACATCGAACTATTTTCCATCTCCAAGACCAGGGAAAACATCTGATCCAGAAAATCATTACAAAAATCAGGCAGAACTTCCTGGCACAGTTCTAGGAGGGGATTTCACTCCGTTAGAACATTTACTACAAAATATTTGTCTTCTGAAAATATACACTCACTCTTCCGTTCCAATTCGTAATCTGGAGTTGTTAAATCACCTGTAAATTTAGCCTATTTATAGGCACTTGGCTTTTTCAAGCTGTGAACTGCAGTGTCATCCAAGTGGGCTATAGCCAAAATAATTCATTGCAATCATACACAGCAGCCAAGAAAGCAAGAATGCCCCTTGTTGACATTTCTGTTGATCTTATGAATGGGCATTTAATTTCTAAAGTCACTATCACTAATAAACACTCACTCTTTTTTTGTATTCTATTCTCAAGCTCAAGATTGAGCGTTTTCATTTTACAGCTTAAAAAAATTTAAAGGACTTCAGAAATTACCAGTATTTAAACTGAATAAATTTTTAGAGTAGCCAGAACACATCACTGGTAAGGATCTTTAAACACAACATGGAGAATGTTGTTATTCTCTTGAGATGAGACTGGGAAGCCCTAAGTGTCTCCTCTCTATCTCATGGGAATATATTCATTGGAAGAGCCGACCAGCCTTCCTAGGAGAACACATGCTGACAGAGCTGGTTTCTGAGGACATTAAGAAACTCGTCACTATTTAACACAGATTCCTGGAGAACAACAGAAATGTAGTTGAATTTAGCCACAAAGGTAGACTCCAAAACAATACAGCTTCTGTCCCAAAAAATGAAGTATTAATAGCTCAATATGTCTGTGTGGGACTAGAAAGATTAAAATTGGAAAAAACTGTAAAAACTGTTCATAGAGAAGCACAAGAAGCAAGCACACCACTGCAATACACTGAATTTTAGATCTGTTTGTATATAATAAGAGCTGCAAGCTCTCATAGATCTGGGATATTTATACCACTCTTTCGCTGAAGAGAAACTAAAGCTTTTCAAAATGATGATGATGCTTCTTTTTCCCTTTGACTCCAAGCCCAGCATGGGAGCCGCAGTGTCTCAGACATTTGATTTCCTGACTCTCCCTAAAGGACTCTGCACTGAAAATGAAGAAATTTCTGACTCAGATGCACACCGGGACAGTCCAGAGACAGCCTTGCCTTTTGGATGCTACAATAAATATCTGTAATAATACTTCTCAGAATTCAGGCAGGACAATGTCTCACAGGTTCATCTGTAGCAAGCTGCTAATAGGTTCCTAGATACTTGTAGGATCAACTGGCTACACGGCACACGATAAAATAAATTCATTTGGCCTCATTTAAAAAGGAATAAATCCTTGACCTAGGTTTTTACCATAAAGTAAAAGAATCAGCATTAAAAATGCATTAATAAGCAGGTAAATAGCCATAAGAAGGACAATGACACCTCTTGATTGCATCAGAGTTCTGCTCTTTAAGCTCATGTCCAAAGGTGCGGTGCACCAGAAAGCACGTGCAGTCCCATTACTGAGCCAGTGCCACCGAAAGAAGGGCGCTCTGCTGCTGGTACTCAGAACTACAGTTTTGGCAATGCAGTGCTGCTTTGGACCTCCTGAGCACTCTTCAGTACTTACCAACACTTTGCACCCACCTGTAGGTACATAAAACCAATTTGTGAGTTGCTGACACTCTGTGGAGACCCTGACAGCAAGCTGGTCAGCAGTGCACCCTCATGGTAACGCAGGCTGACCACGTACCGGGCTGGACAAGCAGCGTGTTACCAGCCCTCGGTGGGAAGTGACTTCCCCTCTCCTCAGCACTCACATCTGCATCTGCAGACCTGTGACCAGCTTGGGGCCACCAGTATGAGAGAGATCCTGCCAAACTGGAGAAAGACCAGGGAGGACCTCTAAGATGTCAGGGGGCTGAGCAGAGGATGCAGCAGGAGAGGCTGGTGGGGCTGTGCTTGTTCAGGTTGGAGAAGGGAAGGAGAAGAGGGGATTTAATTGCTGCACTCTACTCCCTGAAAAGCAGTAACAGAGAAGACCAAGATATGCTCTTCTCAGTGGAAGGACAAGACAGAACAAACATGAGCAGCAAGATGGGAAATTCCAACCGGATACGAGGAAAAAAATTCTTCAGCAAGACTGGCTGAGCACTGGGACAGGCTGCTCAGAAAGGCTGTGGAAATGCCATCCTGACAGGTATGTACACCTCAACTGGATGAGGCTCTGGGTAACCTCATCTAGCCTGGACGTCAACCCTAGTTCAAGCAGGAGGTGGGCTACTAGAGATCCCTTTCAACCTAAATTTGGCTATTACTTCTATGATGCTACAAATACAGATTAAACATATTTACTTACTTACTTTCCCTTTGAAAGTACTAATTCATAAAAACTAGTTTCTTGACAGAAACTCCGACTTTGAATTACCATCATCTTTTTTACTTAATGTTGACATTTACCTCAACAGAAATCAGCATTTCAATTATTATATGAAGATAACAAATGAGATACAGCACACTCAACATATGGCACAAAAGCCTAAGGCAATCATCCATCCTTACTGACTGTACTGGCAATCGCTACTTACCACTTTCCTAAGGTTATTACAGAAAAACAGTCTAGACTGCTTTTCTCCATCTGCAGATGGAGAACCTTTCATATAAATGGTCACACTGCTGCTTTTGTAGGCTCTGGAGGCTATGATTCCTTTCCTGCCACGTGACTGGATATGAACCTACCACAATACTAAAGTGTTGGCATCGCTACCATATATTATGGATCCATGTCTAATCACACAGTTGGAAATAGCTACATTTCTACTGTGTGACAGCTGTGTACTCAATCTGGTGATTGAAAATGGATGCATGCCTAGGGAAAGCTGTCTGGGAGAGGACTGGAAGAACAATTCACTTGGACTGCAGACTCCCTGAATTCCTCTTATGAAGCCCCAGCTGAAAAAGGACAAGCTATAGGCCAGAATTATTATTTTAACAGACGAGATCCAGCTCTTGGCCAGAGTTTCTCTGTCCCAGCTGAAATGAAGAGATGTGAATGAGAAGATTGTAACTGCTTTAAAAATAGGCTTAGTTTTAAGAATGCTGTTCCACAGGGACGTGGGAGCATGGAAAGAAGAGCAAAAAACTTTTTGAGATACAC